CACGTTGACGCCGTTGACCTCGACCAGGCGGTCTCCAGCGCGCAGCGCGGCCGCCTCCGCAGGGGAGTCGGGCTCCACGCGCCGGATGAACTGCCCGCGGCGGCCCTTCTCGCCGTGCAGGTGGAAGCCGTAGCCGTGCTCGCCGCGCACCAGGAGGCACAGGCGGGGCCGCAGCGGCTCCGGTGCAGCCATGGCGCCGGCTGCCCACCAGCCGGCCACGGGCTAGCCACGCCGCCCACGCCCGTCACCGGCAAAGAGGGGCGCGGGGGCGGCGCGGAGACGGCGGGGACCCGGTGGCAGCCTCGGTGGCTACAGCTCGGTTCCAGTCGCCTCGGGCTCCGGCTCCGGCTCGGGCTCCGGCTGGGGCACCGCCCCCGCGCCCGCCTCCTCCCCGCCCCCTCCGCCCTGCAGCCCCCGCCCCGGGTCCAAGCCATCCAGGCCGTTCCCTCGCCTGGCGCCCCGCCAGCCCAGGGAGCTCGGGGAAGGCTGACGGGCCAGGCGACCTCCTCGGTCTTGCCCCCACTGGGCAGCCTCCTTGGTGCAGCGTCTTTGCCTCCTGCACCAGCAACATTTACTGAATACCTACTGTTAGGGGCCCTGGCACAGGGCACGCCCTTGAGGTCGGAGAGGGGGTGGAGAGTTATGGCTCCCTACTGGGATCCCTCCTGCGCCCAGAGCGGCCCTGGCTGGGCACCGAGTTCCAGGAGGGCCCAGGAGGCACAGAGAGCTTGAAAGTGACATGGTAGCAGCTGTTCCCTGAATGCACGAGGCCAGGGACTGAGTGGCTCCCTGGCCTTCCCCAGGAGTGTTTGTGCCAATCTGTGCTGCCGTGTCCACTGAACATTCCCCTACCATCCCCTCTCTCCGCCAGAGTCCTCACTCGCGCCCCTGCCTGTCCCAGGTCTGGCGGACGACTGCAGAGTGAAGGAAGGAAATGCCTGGTCTGGCTGGGGCAAGGGGGTCTTTACTACCCTCCTAGCCTGAGATGAGGGGCCCTGTGGGTCTCCCCTCCCCCACCCCTAGCCATCCTCTCTGTCCCCAGCCTCTCCCTTACCCCTCACCATGAGTGCCCCCTCGCCCAGACCGGACAGTACTGATCACAGTGGAGAACCCCTCATGCTGCCCTGCCTCTCTGAGTGCATTTTACCTGGAACAGCCCTAGGGGTCTCAGGACATTTCACGAATCAGAAGACTGAGGTATGGGGATGGACACGACCCAGGCAAGGTTCCCCAGCTCCTCTGGGGCCCAAGGCTGTGTGTCTCCAGGTGCCCACACTTCACGTGCAGCTCTTTCTCAGTCTCAGATACAGGAAGACACCTAAGTCACAGGCTCACCCCCGGTCTGCCCCTCCCAGCCCTGCCAAGCACCCTAGACACACCTGGCCCTGGGGGGTCAGGCACAGCCAGCCTGGAGACTGCTCAGGACCATCCTCCCCTCTCCAGTGCCCGCAGGCTCGGCTCCCAGCCCCGACCCAAGCACAGGGCCTGCCTCCAGGCAGTTTCCTGGGCTGCAGCCCCTTGGGTGTCCACACCCCAGCTGCCACCCCTAAAAGTCCCTTAGACAAAGGCTGCATGGCTGCTTCCCCACACCCACTCTGATTTCCTGGCTGATGCCGCCATATGATCCTGCCTGGCTGGCCGCCTCCATCTGTCCATTTGCTTGTCCAGAGGTTGCCTGTCTGGCCTGTGACTGACCTCCCTGGACCCAACCTGGTGCTGCTGTCCCCGGAGGCCATGAGGACAGGTTCAGACCATGCAGTCCACCATAAACCACTTCAGGCAGGGCTTAGAGGTCACCCATAGCGACCAGAACCATCAAGACCTGCTAGGCTGTAGCTCCAGGGCCATCCTAGTGTTGAGGGAGGTCACTGGGAGGCCCCCCCAAGCCCAGGCAGAGAAGGTAGGGGCCCTTGGTCCTCTGTGTCAGGAGGCTTCGATAACTCTGTCCCCCTCCAGAGGATACATGGTGTCCGGTCAGCCCACGGCCCTCCTCACCGCCTTTGCAGCCAGACTTATCCTGTGACAGGATGAATGGGAAACAAACACCGATGGAGGGAGGGGTCGTGAGAGGCCTGTGGCCACAGCCAGGCGCCAGCAGCACTGTATCCCAGAATACAAAGGAGGCTCCAAAGCAAAAACGGAGCAAAGTCCCCAGCAAGGTAACAAAGTAACAAAGGCGACATCTGAGAGCGAACAGAGGGTGAGCAACGGCCCCAGACTAAATAAAGGGAGCCAAGGAAGGAGCCGCAGGTAAATTCCAAGGGGGAGCAGGAATGAGAGAGGAGACCCGGCCTGGAGAGACGGGGCAGACAAAGGCCCAGCGGCTTTCCGGGGCAAACCCTCCCAAGCCGCATTCTCCAGCCTCGGGCCCCGGGAACACGGCGAGAAAAGGCCTGGCAGTGTGGACTGAAAGGTGTCCGGGCTGTAAGCTGTTGGTGGTCGCTGGGGCTGGGGGAGGTGACCGATGAGGCAGCCGCAGACAAGCAGGAGGGGGGTCCGCGCAGGGGTAGTCAGAGGTCCGGATGATCCCCACACCCCTACACCCTCACGCCACTCCAGTCATCTTGCCACACAGGCCTTGCGAAGGGGAAAGCAGCCCTTTCCGTGCTTAGCCCCCTGGGCTGGGGGAGGGTCCACCTGGGGCGGCTGCTCCCGGTTGCAGGAAGGGGGCTTTGCTCAGAGCTTTGAACCCACCTCCCTGCAGCTTCCCCCGCAGCGATGGCGCGGGGCCTGGGTCTGGGCGGGCACTCTGGGACGGCGGACTGGGGTCCGATTAGGGTGAGGCCATGAGTGACGCCCGGAGCTTCCCGAGCCCGCGCCGTCACCGTCCTGGTCATTAACGGCCGCGCGGCATGACCAGGCCTCCCCATGGCCTCCTTCCTCAGACTCCACCAGGCCTCTCTTCAGAGCCTGACACGGAGGAGAGCTGAGAATCAGAGACTCGGAGACTAGAGGGAGAGAGAAGGGGGAACCGCGAGGACCAGAGGGAGGACGCCCCGTCCCGCCCCCAGCACCCCCAGCCTGGTCCCGCCCCCCGCCCCGCCCCCGCCCTGCCCCCCACCGGCCAGGCGGGGTGTAGACCGGACGCCCAGCAGCGCCCTCTGCCGCCTATGGGTGGGGTTGCATCTTCCGAAGGGCTGCCCGGGGTCCCTCGGTCCGGCCCAGCTGGGTGGGGATAGGAGTGAGGTTGCTTGCCCTGAAGGGGCAAAGGGGTGCATAGGGTTGTAGGCGGAGAAGCCGCCTTTGTCGAGTCCCTAAATGGCTCTGCTTCCTTACCTTGGACCTGGGCCTAACCTCTCTACACTGGGGTACTTCCAGGCAACGTGAAATCAAGCTCCTCACCAAATGACAGAACATCTGCAGGTCACTGGGAGCCAGGAGCTGGCGAGCATTGGGGAACCATGCTGAGATCCATGGAAACAGGGACGTATGTGCCCTGGCAAGGGAGGCCCAGGGCTGGGGCAGCCCGGAGGAGGGGCATTTAACCTGGCGTGGGGTCTTAGAGTCCTCCTTTAGGGTGGACCAAAGGGCCATTCTGCAATCTGCTGTGTACCTGCAGGGTGTGTGGGGAAAGGCAGGGAGCAAGGAGACGGGGGGGACAGGAACAACCCCGCGGCCCGGCCCCAAAGCATGGGTCTCACCCCGTCAGGGGTGGGGAGCCCTTGAGGTGTTGTACATTGTAGGTGACAAGGTCAGGACACCCATGTTTCCATGTTTCAAAAGGCCAGTTCTGAGAGAAGCAGGGGCAGGAGTGGGCTCAGAACGGGAGAATGTGCTGGCCTAAGGCGTCTGTGACCACCTCTTACCCTAGCACAGACACTGGGTAAAAAAAAAAATTGGGTGGAATGAAGTAAATAAATTGAGAGTCGATAAAATTTGGGAGGGTGGAGTAAAAAAGCACTTACATCAGGGGACCACATGAGAGGGATGCATCCCAAAGGTGAGAAGGAATTGCCAGTGAGGAGTAATGGCGGCTTCCAGATGCCAGGGGGGGAGTGTGGCGGCCGGCCCAACACAGGCCTCCCAAAGCCAGCTGGCCTGTCAGACCCAGGGCCGGGACCCTGCCTCTAGTCTCTGCTGGCGCCCCAAGGGGAGGTCTTGCCATATGGCCGAGGGGGGGCTCCAGGGGCAGACAACATCACGGCTGGTGCCCAGGTGCTTGGAGAGCCAGGACCTCTGTGCCCACTCTGAGAAGGGTTGAAGAGAGAGTAGGAGGCTGGAGCGGCCCAGACACTTATGAGGGGAAGCTGGAAGGGGATCCATGTTACTCAAGATGGCAGAGCACATTTACATGGGAGTCGGGGGCCAATTAGCAGAGACACAGAACGGGGTAAGAGAGGGAGGGGCCCCTGAGGAGGAAGGGGGTCCCAGGAGGACAACATGGCTGTGACGAAGGTGGCCAAGAAGGGGGGGTACAACTTCCTCTCTGGAAGCCTTTGGCTGAGGGGAGGGAGGGGTTCCAGGAGATCTAGGTTTGAAAGGAATGCGGGGAGATGGGGAGAGCCTGTCGGGCTGCCAGGTCATGAGGCCCCTCCCCCTTGGGGAGGACACTCTCCCTGGCCTGGCCAGGTAGCACGCTGAGGGGGCACCAGTTGGGGCTCGTGGGGGGCTGGGGTGAGGCTCCTGCGCAGCAGGTGTGGTGGGAGCTCCTGCTTTCCTTCTGGTGGACAGCAGCAGGACCCAGGGTCTCGGTCGCAGTGGGGGGCACTTCCCAAGCTGGGGCACCCTGGGACCTGGTCTGACGACCTCACCGGGAACAGGACGGGCAGCACCGGCGGAGAAGGGAGAAGGGCCCCCGGCCGCCCGTGTCTCTGCCTCTGTTCCCCCCTCTGTGCGTAAGGACAGACAGATCGCAGTGGGGGGTTCGGGGTGTGAGCTTCCCCTGGCCCGCGAGAGGACTCCTGACATTTGCCAGGGCGTGGGTGCGGCGGTTGGCGCCCCCAAAGTAGATGGCAAAATACACAGAGCAAAGGAAAAGAGTGACACGCGAGGGCGCAAGAACAAGGTGGGTTTTACTGACGGGACGGCCCCGCCTGGCCAGGGCAGCGCGCCCTGGAGGCCGAAGCGACTTGGCCTGGATCAGGCACGGGGGTGCGGCAGGCAGGGGCTGTGCTCAGGACGGCCGAGGGGCGAGGCCAAGGCAGTTCGCTGCGCAGACCGTGGCTGAGCCGGAGACTCTCCGAAGGCTCTAGAAAGAACAGAGAGGACCTTGGGGGCAGGGCCGTGCGCCCTCCACTACCCCACGTCCACCCCCAGGCTGGAAGGGTAGGGCTCCAGGAAAGCCTTTCTCGGCGCGAAGTGAGAGATGGAAAGGTCCGTAGGGTGCCCCGTGGGCGCGCACGTGCGCCGCGGGCTCAGATCTCCCCCGACCCCCTCGCCCTATGCCCTCTGCCCTCGCGGCCACTTTCCGCTCCCCGCGTACCTAGCCTGCCCCTCCGAGGTCCAGGAATGGTCTGCCAGCTGCGGCTGCGGTGCGGGCGCGGGCTCCGGGACGTGCTCTCGGAGGCGCGCTGACGGGGAGCCCTGCGCTGGAGCTCCTGCGTCTCGCCTCCCGCAGTCCCTGAAGCTCGCAGGGAAGCAGGAAAGCATCGCGGGCGGCGGGCCCGGGAGCGAGGTGTCCCTGGTAGACATCTTCCGGGAGGGCGCGCTCAGGCCTAGGGGGGCCCAGGCAGGGGGCCCGGCAGCAGCGGGGCGCAACGCGCGGCGCCACACATAGGGCGAGCGGCGCAGCCCCACGAGCAGGCCCGCGGCGCGGCCCACGGTGTGGTAGCGGGGACTCGCCCCGTGCTTGTACCAGGCGCCAGCGGGCAGGGGCAGCAAAATCAGCAGTAATGCCAGCATGGGCCACTTTGCAGGGGCCCCCGGCCTGGGGCCCGGCGCCAGCGTGCTCTGGGGGACGGCCGCCGGGTGGGGCAGGCCAGCAGCGAGCTCGGCGAGCCGGGGCTCCGCAGGCGACCGGCGAGTGGTGGGCCGCAGCGGGGGGAGGGGGTCCAGCTATAGCTGCTCGGCAGCCCCGCCCCTGCTCGCCCCCGCGGGACCCACTGAGCCCCAAGGGTAGGAGCAGGGCTGGAGGGAGAGGAGGATCCCGGACTGCTGGGGCGGGGCGGTGAGTCACCGAGCACCCCTGCTGAGTGCGCCTCTAGCTGGCACTCACCTGGATGCTCTGCGGGGGAGCCTCTGCTCCCCCCTCTCCGGCCCCCTGCTTCCTCCCCTCAAGGAGAGGAACTGCCAAGACACAGGGGTGCCCCCTAGCCAGAGTTCTTGCAGGTGGGGTGCCAGCACAGCAAAAACAGGGAGGCTGGTGGAGGCTTGTTGGTAAAGCAGGAGAGCCGGCGGGGGTGGGGGCGGGGGCTCCGCACCATTCAGAACCCTTCTGTGTGTCTCCTTCACTGACGGCTGTCCCTTGGCTTCACCGAACACCGCTCTCAAGTCTGTCCCCAGGCCCCTTCCTGTCTTCTCACCCCAGCCCTCCTGAAGATGGCTAGCGGTTTCCCAAGCCGTCAGCCAGAGCAGTCAGCCCCACCTCATACCCCCAGCCCCCACCTTCCTCATACCCCTGGGTAGGATAAGGCCCAGCATGCCCCCAGTTTCCCCTCAGGTCACGGTCCCTCTAACACAGCTTTCTCTGGCCAATCTGTTTTTTTGCTTTACCCAGCACCCCATGATTTTGCCCACCTCTGTGCTTCTGTGGGCACATCCTTCCCTTCCTTTCAACCTGGCAAACTCCTGCTCATCCTTCAGGATCCCGCTTAAATCGCCCTCATCTGAATTGGAGTATTCCTCCGTGCTTGTCTGGGCTTAATAGCCCCCTTCCAGAGGGCGGCCTGAGCCCCAGCCCAGGAAGGACGCAGCACCCAGACAAACAGGGCCTCTCCCCAACCCCTGCCACCGCAGTGTGGTGCCGCACCTTCCAGACCCATCAGGGATCCTGAAATGCTTTATTCTGACTTCCAAATAGTGCCACAAGGGAGGACGATGACTGATTCCATTTCCCTGGGAGGAAACCAAGGCTCAGGGGATGAACTTGTTCTCCGTCACCTGCTTGGTGAGCGGTGAGGGCAGGAGTCCCGCCAGACCCCCAGGCTGAGAGTTCCAGCTTGGGCTTGTCCTTCCTCTCAGGTCTTCATGTTGAGAGGGCGCGGAGAGGGCAGGAGGTGCAAAGGATGGCACCTGCTTTTGTGGCCTGAAGGGCCCTACTAGGGTCTGGCGATCCCTAGAGAGGTGCGGAAGCAGCAGCAACTGTCCCCTCAAAGGACAGGGAGCCCGGTGCCCCTGCTTGATGTGGGTGGGGATAGGAGTGGGTGCCTCGACGTCTCCTACCTCAGCTTCCTCATTTGTAAGCCGGAGATAATAATATTAGCCACCTCGCCAGGGTGCTGTGAGCATTAATAATCCAGGTGTGGGTCTTGGCACAGTGCCTAGTACACAGTAGGTGCTTAATAAATGGTTGTGGCTCCCATCTATTGCTGTTACTGTTCCACAGGCCGACCAGCCCCCTCAACTGTCATTTTGATGGAGGGGTGAGGCAGCAGCAAGGAGAGTTAGGGGGTGCAGAGGAAGCTGCCTGTGAGCCTGCAGGGGCCTGAAGGACCTCCGGGACCAGGGACCGCTAGAAAAGCCGCCCCCAGACGTCCCTTCGGGGCCTCTTGGCCTCGAGAGCCGCCTCGAGTGCGCAGTGGGCGGGCGGCCCAGCACGACGCGGCTGCCAGGGTCCCCTGGCACTGCCGCCCTCTCCCTGCTAAGGGGACGCGGTTTCCCTGCACCCCCAGGGACTGCAGCCCTGCTCCGGGAGGGTCTGGGCGCCCCCTGGAGGCGGCCCGGGGAGCTTCTGCAGCAAAAGGAAATTTTCCCATCAAAAGGAAAATTGGTCTACGTGTCTTTAGCCTGCAACGGACGGCTGTGTGACAGCTGGAAAATTGAAGTGGAACTACAAGAAGCATCATGGATAAATCTCTAACAAGCACTGTTGTGCAAAGAAACAAATATCTTGCCCAGTGATACATTCAGCATCTGAATTTAGATACCAGCCATCCCCCTGGCTTGTTTATGGCCTTGGACCCAAGGGAGTGAAAATGTCAGGGTGCAGGCGGATACAAAGGCCACGTGGGAACAGAGAAATGGGGGGTGCAGAAGGCCTGTGGGGCAGGACCCCAGGCTGGGTTCAGGGAGCAAAGCACAGAAGAGCTTGATGGTCCCTGGGGGCTCCAAGTTTTGAGTGCAGAGGAGGAGGGGCTCCAGGCCCTGCCCAGCCCTGAGCCCACAGGGGTCTTAAGCCAAAGCCACATTGTGGGATTTGCTGACTCTCTTTCCTGGGGCCTGCATCTCCTGTCGGCCACTCCACAGCACCTACTAGAAACCCCGGACTACCACTTTGGACTCTGCACCCCACCTCTCCCGGACACTGGACCAAGCCCTCCCTGGGCTGGGATGGCGTTGGCTTCATACACTTCCAGGCAAGGAGCCCACCTGAACAGGACCTCTGTCCTAAGTATGCAGTGAATGAGGATCACACTTTTTTTAACTGCTGATTTTTATCAAGGTAATACATTATAAATTCAATACTAACTAGGATGAGGAAAAAATCCCTGCTCCGTCCTTACATCCCAGTTGCTTCAAAATCCTCCAGCCATTTCTTCTAGTATTTACCCCAATATTTTACAATCATAAGCTGTCTTGCCTGAGGGTTTTAGCCGTGGGCAGGTTCACTCTGGATTCGGTGAGAGTGAAAAATGACAACAGAACGTTGGAGACAAAAGTGTTCATACCCAGCTTTACTCACCTTGTGGCAGATCCAGTGCTAGAACCCCGTCTACCTCAGGGCAAGTCTGCATGCAGCAAACCGCTGTCTGCCTCCCGCCTCTCCACCGCCTTGCAGCCCCAGAGCACTGCCCAGGGCTCTTTATAGAGAGACAATAGGAGCCCTTTGCCAACGCATGTGTAAGCCTGCGCCTGGAGCATTGCACTTGTGCAATGGGCAAGCAGCCCAGGGGCAAATGAGAATTGGGGTATGGAACTTCCATTTTCTCTACAAAGCTTAACTGCTTTCTAAAAATTGGGGGCCTTTTTGAGGGGTAGTATAATACATTTTAAATAAAGTGTACACATCTTAATTACGCTTGTTACATATGTATACATCTGCATGCCCACAGCCCAGATCAAGATAGAAGAGATTTCAGCTCCACAGGGCCTCCCTTCGCCCCCTCCTCGCCAGAAGCCTCCAGAGAACTCATCTGTCACTTAGGTGAGGGTTTCTTAGCCTTGCGGCACTGTTGAGGGCACCTGAGGGGGGCTGTCCTGTGCACTGCAGGATGTGAGGAGCATCCCCTGCCTTCACTCCTTTAAATCTGTAGGCAGAATCAAAGCCCCTCCACAAATCTAGTACTCCCAGGGTATCTAGGAACCTGGGAATAATTGTTTTACATGGTAAGGAGGAATTAAAGTTGCAGATGAAATCAAGTGTGCTACTCAGCTGACCTTAATATAAGGAGATTATCCTGAACAGTCTAGGTGGGTGCAATGTAATCATAAGGGTTCTTAAGTGTGGAGGAGGGCGGCAGGGTCAGAGGAGAGATGACAGTGGAAACGGGCAGATAGAGAGAAGGGCCATGAGCCATGGAATGTGGGTAGCCTCTAGAAGCTGGAAAGGGCAAGGAAATGGGCTCCCCTTCTAGAGCATTTCAAAGGAACACACCCCAAGTGCACTCTGATTCTATACCAGCAAGACCCTTATCGAATTTCTGAATTCCCAAACTGTAAGATAATAAATGTGTGTCATTTGAAGCCATTAAGTTTGTGGTCATTTTTTTTATAGTAGCAATAGGAAATGGATGCCCTAGAAGACGACAGTGACACTACCCCCTGCTGTGACAACCAAATATATCTCCAGACATTTCCAAATGTCCCTTTGTTGGGGGGTGGGGGCAGAAATCATCCCTGATTGAGAATCACTGACTTAGATTATAAACTGCTATTTTTAAATTTTGCTGTTTTAGGGAGCATCAAACAGCTTCCTACTAATTTAAATGAAGCTCCATCCAGCTCCTCACTCCCCAGTCAATTCATTTCTCACCTCTCCATCATCCTCATATGATTCTTTCATAATTTTTGGTTGAATCACTAGTATTTATATGATTATGATCATGGAAATATTATTCTCTGCTGAGCCAAGTAGTGTACTGTGATTCCATTTCCTGTTGATAGCTGTCTCATTTTTCTTTGCTTCTTTTTCTATATACTTAATTTGCTATCTCCATCTCACCCACCCAATCCTGCCAAGCTCCCTGCAATAACTTTCCCTGATTCTCAAGTACACAAGGTTACCCACCACCATTTCCACATTTGCTC